TTCTTTGAGATACATCCTGAAGAGGCAAAAAGACAATGCTGCCCTTACATGCGATTTTTGCTCTAACTGCATTCAGTATTTCCACCAAATTGCATTTAGCATTTAGCTTTTTTTTTTATTATTTTTATTTTTTAATAATTTTTTTTATTTAAAAAAAAATAAAAAAATTTAATTTTCTTTTTGATATTTTTTTTCCCGTAAAGTTTACAGTCTCGAATATGACTATATATGAATATATATGACTATAGTCATATTCTTGCTTCATATTGCCGTTTTTTTACATTTGCAACTTAAAATTGTATATTTTCGATTATACAGTGTAGCTCAATCATATTTAACAAATTAATAAAAAAAAAGACTATTGTTTATGAAAAAAATCCATCAACATCAGTGTACATTGGGAAAAAACCTACATCTTATATATGACCATACATGACTATATATAACTACAGATAACTATAGATGTGACTATATATGACTATACATGTGACTATATATATATCACATGTGCTTTACCGTGTTTGCAAGTTTGTTTGGTTGGTTTACAAATAAAAGTTTCACTCTTATATATACATCTCCACCTCCCTGATTGATGGTAGGATTGATTTAATACTGTTATTGAGAGTGGTTCTATAGAACATTTTATATTATAATTACATTCTAGAAGATAAGTATAATTGAGAAGTTTAAGTAAGGTCTTAGAATTTTTTACGACTTTGTACAAATTTCTATCTACAAGTGTTCTACTTAGGGCTTTAACATTTAAGATTTTTGTTTTTAGGCAGGTTTTTTTTACTCTAGTAAAAATCTTTATAGCCAAAAATTTTATTCTAGTGAAAATATCTTTAGCTAAATACTGTAAAATATAGTCCAAAATAGGAGGATCGTGAGAAAATCTCCAATGCTAAACTCAATCTCTAATACGTAGAGTGCCACATGAGATATTTTGAGATTTTTGTTAAAAAATCATCTCTAATTCAAAGATTTTTGTTAAAAAATCATCTCTAATTCAAATATTAAGAAAAATCTCCAAATGATGTGGCAATGAGGTGGCACTTATGATTTTAGAGATTCTTAGGGCATCTGTAGTGCCACTCCCAATTTATTATTTTTGTCAGAACTTTTAAATATTGGGAGTAATTGATGATTTTAGCTCCTCTAGTGCTTTTCTCCAGCCTCCCTAAATGTGCCATGTGGCAAGGGACTCCCAATTGAAGTGCCTACGGTTAGTCCATGGTTAGGGAGTGTATGTGGAGCCCTTTTGATTATTTTAATGTATTTTTGGAATGTGTGCCAACCAAATCTGACTTTAATTATTTATTTTTTCTTTTTCTTTTTTTCCATTATGATAAGTAATAATTAATTCTAATAAGTATTTAATTATTTTATAATTTTTAAAAATTACAAATTTAAATTTCATAGATTTTAATATTAATAGTAAAATAAATATTATATTTAAATTCATTAATATGGTAAAAAAAAACTTATATTTTCATTTTAATAATTCAATTTCACTATACTAATACAAGAAATATTTATTTTACAAATAAATTTAAATTTTGTAAATTCGTTAATTTTAATTTATTTGATTGTTCTACACATGCGTCTCTCATATTCATAACTTTTATTATAAGAAATTTAAAAATAAATTTTCATGAAATTTAATTTTACTAAATTCGATCACATTATAAAATATAATACGAACAATGTGAAAATAAAAGAACATTAAATCACAACTACAATTAGAAATACACATAAACAATAAATATTTAGACATCTTCTTCTCCGTAGATATTCCACAAATGGTTCATTAAATCAGATCTTAAATCTTCATTGGTTCGTCGATTGCGGATCCGACTAAGACGTGCTGAGATATAGGCTGCCAAAATCGATGGATCTCGTTCATATTGAAGGGGGCGGAAATTCTCTTCTGGAAGTGGTGCCCATGGTTCGAGGTCAGATCCACGTTCATCTTCTATAATCATATTATAGAGTATAATGCATGTTTTCATTATATTACATATATCCTCTTTTGACCAATATCGAACGGGTCCTTGCGTTATACCCCATTTAAGAAAGAAAAATCTCGATTCGATCGATTTATTTGTAGAGGAGTTTTCTAATATGAGAAAAGAACAATCAAGTCGCTTTGAAGAGGATGGCATTAGGAGAAATGCAATCGAACAACAGAAATTACAAGCTAAAATAGAAACAAAGAGAATGGAAATTGCAGCTAAACAAGAACATCAACAAAAACAACGCGAGCAAGAAATAATGTTGATGGATCCTCAATCGGCACCTACAGAGGAAGGTAAAGCTTGGATTATTGAACAACAAATAGAGATCTTAAGCCGTATTAGAAAAAATAAAAACTAATTTTATAAAGTCTTTTCCTTTAATCTATTTATGTCTAGAGTTGGAGGAATGTTCTAACAAGCTTGTTCAATTTAGTGCAATCTATTATGTATTTTTGTTAATTTTATTTCATTTATGTTTGTTGAATGTTTTGTATTATTTTATCAATATAAATATGGATACAAACAAAATAAAATAATACATATTACAACGTAATAAAAATGGTGACTAATATTTAATTAATGTAATCTAATACGAAATTAATTTAATTAAATACAAAGAATTAAATTTAATTACATTATTATATTTACTTCCTTAATATTTTATTATTATTTAAGATATTTGGATAAATTTTTAGGGAGTTTTAAATGTACCACTAGAGAACTTTTTTTTTAGGGAGTGTTAAATGTGGGTCCTACTTTTAGGGAGATAGTAAAATGTGTAGGTGGCATGTGGACCCCACTATTTGGGGAGTGTTTTATTGGAGTGTCATCTTGAGGATCTCTAAAGTGTCAACTCATCCATTAATACAATTTTTATTTACTTTCTATTAAAAAATTAAGATAATTATATTATCTCCAAACCGTAAATGAATTTCACTATAGCTCTACTCTTATTCCACATTCTTCTACACTATTTTATTGGAGTTACATATTTCTCTGAAGATTCGACTTTCAGGGGAAAACACTAATTAATTACTTAATTTGTTTTAGCAATAATTTTCTCAAACTTTAATCAATTAAATTCATGTGAATCCTCTGACCTAAAATAAATGAACCATACGACGTACACGTGATCTATAGAAGTTGCTAGTTCGTATACAATATAAGTTCGTGGTTTAACAAAAAGGGGTCATGTGCAAAATATCCAAACCACAAGGGGTTTAGACATTCATTTGTTTTTTTTTTTGTGAACATTTCCTTGTCGTTAAAACATAATCAATTAAACTGATATGGTTTAATGAACAAATTTTAAACCATTGTGGTTTGAACATTTTAAAGAGTTCATTAAAACATTGAACTAATAAATGTTAAAAAAAAAAAACTCTATCTACTTCTTTTTCTCTCTCTTGAAATATAAAAATCTTAATAAATCTGAATAAATTCACTAGTATTAAATCATGAATGAAAACGAGAAGGAAAAGTTTTTCTCTTTTTGGCGGAATAAGTTTTTTTTTAATAAATTAATAATTATAATTTTAATTTTAAAACCCAATAATAAGTGATGCTTAAGAAAATATTTGAAGTGTCGAGTGTTGCATTGAAGACTTTGCAGTACATAATCTCAATCGTGCCAAATAGGATAGAGAAAATTTTAAGATTTACTTTTGATATATACTTGACACCTAGGATGTTTAGAGTTTTTCTTGAGTTTACCATTGGAAATGCTCTGACATCTCGTCTTTCTTTATTATTTAAATTTATTAATTATTGCGATTTCTTTTTCTTTTGCAAACACCATATTAAATCGATTAAATAAACAATGTTACTTTAAAACGCATCAACTATTGAGTATTGATGCAATATTTTTTTTTGAACTTTAGAAAACATTCAAGGCTTAATTCCATGGATTCGGTATAATTTATCATACGTTGTCGCTTCCTCTTTCATTCCGAAGAAGTGAGGCTCGTAACCGCACTTCCATGGATCGTTTTCACCTGGTTTATGAGGTGCAACATATTGTATGGCTAAAGAGGGGGAGTATCAATATAGCAATTGGATCACTGTTGGTAGCTGCCAGAAAAAAAAAACGCGGGGCTCCAAATGAATTTGCCATTGCCCGACAGACGGAGTTTTTGATCGGCCTTTCGGCGTTCATTTTGGTGGAGCTTTTTCTGCAGCCAATCAGAGAAGCCACATTAGCCAAGAATCATTAGTACATAATATTTGAGATGCTTCAATATGGCTTTGCTTACAAAACAGGCATGGAGAACACATTTACACCACGAACACCGCCAGAAAGCCGCTCAGCAATAGAGGCTTTCCGGTGAACCTTGGTACATTATTTTGATTTTTGTTATATATTAAATTGGATTCTTGCTAGACAAGACATGGCAGTAGGCTGTATAAAAAAAATAGACAGAAACATACCGAAACAACACATTAAAAAACCGGTAGCGAAAGGAAGAAAGTTAACGCTCATCGGAAATAAAATTGTAACAACAATACATAAAGGGAAAGCAACAAGGACATCGGTTTCAACAGGTTGATTTGATACGGAAATCGGTTTCCAATTCACCATATCTTTGGATGCTACACCTGGAAATTTACACATAATCTCACACACACCCATGTGTATGTGTGCTTAGTGGGTAATTATTTAATCAAATCAACGGTTGGGATGCACCCAGTGTAAATAACCAGCTGTAGCATCTAACTCCCAGTAAAAAAACAGCAATAACGTGGTGGGATGAGAGTTTCAGATGTTTCTTCACAAACTTGTGCTGTGTGTTTGAAGAAACAAAACAGTCAGCCTTTTTTTGGGTTTTCCAAAAATACTTGGAGGAAAAACAAAACATTATTTACAAAAGTACCCCTAGGGATACGAAAATTGTGACAAAAATGCCCCTAGGGTTGGGAAGTGTTTATATAAAGGGAACACGTACGAGATCCAGAATAACACTACTCGGTTTTCCCTACGTACAGAAAAGGAAAACTACGAAACCCTAGAAAGAAAGAAAGGAGCAATATAATGGGTGGTGCATGGAAGAATACGGAGGACGAAATATTGACGGCAGCGGTGAACAAGTATGGGGAGAATCAATGGTCCAAAATTTCTTCTCTTTTAGTTCCAAGATCACCCAAGCAATGCAAGGCGCGTTGGTACGACTGCCTCGATCCCTCCATTAATACGGTATTTTCTATTCGTTGTTTCTCGCTTTTCAGATTTTTTGTTTTTTTTTTTCTACCATCGTTGCTGATATATATATTTGATAAAACTTTTATTCCAAGCTGCTCGTGTGAATAGAATTACTCAACCATGACAAAGTATTTTCGAAAACCTGGAAGTTTATGTATCGTTTGATTTTGTATATAGTGTTTTTATCTCGATGAGTTTTGTTAGTTTGTGATCGATGATCTTACAAAAAATTCCTATGGAATTAGTAATTAAGAAGCTGTTTATTTGAATTTGTGTAGGTGGTGTTTGCAGAACTTTATTTAAAAGTTGAAGTTAGTGATTGTGAGTTGGATTGAAATTAAGTGCTTATTTCGAAAAGCTTGGGGTGTTTGCAAATTAGCTGAAAAATCAACTAAAAACTTCTTATTTTAAGAGAAGCAAAAACAAAAGTTTGTTTTGCAAACACATAAAAACAGATTATGTGCAGAAAAAAACTCATAATCTATTTCTAAAAACTTTTGCAAATACCACCGTAGTCTACTTTATGCCTTCTTGTGATGTTGAATTAGTTTTAAACTAGTATTTCATATATATGTGCGTTTTAGATAAAATAATCAAACGAAGACTTTGAATAATTGATATATAATGAAAGAAAATATAGATAAGAAAATTGTGATATAAAACATAATTTAATTTGTTGAATACATTGTAAATTTTCTGTTAATAATTTGCCCTCACAAATTTTCGAATCTATGAAAAGAATCTCAACTCGAGAAGGCTGTAGAGTTGCGTTTGATTACCTTCAATTATATATATATGGATTCTTGATAATTGACAAACTTTCTTGATTGCAGACTGAGTGGACTCAGGAAGAAGATGAGAAATTGTTGTGCCTTGCAAAGCTGATGCCCAAACAATGGAGAACTATTGCCCCGATTGTCGAGCGTCCTCCGTCTCAGTGCCTGGAAAGATACAAGAAGCTCGTTGATCCAACCGGTGCTACAGACGAGAATCCTGTATTATTACAGGATTAAGGATTTTAATGCTCTCATGAGATTTAATTTTTTTACTTGCATTGTTTATTCAGTATTCACCCAAAAAATGTATTATATTTCAATCTTACATTCATTGTTGATATTTTTTTTTTTTGAATTTTAAAAATAGTTCCTAGGGACCCTTTTATTTCATTGTCAAGAGTAATTTGTCCTTTAAAAATACATATTGTAATTTTGACAATAGATTGATGTTTTGGTTAGTTTTTTTTATATTGTTCCTAAATTCGAGTTACTATAGTCGTCAATGATTCGATTTTGACAATTGAACGCTGTTTAATTTTTCAGTTTAGTTGGATGGAATTTACGTGTTGTTAAAAGTGAAATACAAGGTGGAGAAGCAACACCACCCTACCACTAGTTTATAGTACTCCGTCCCCACCACCGTCACGTGAGTGAGCTGTGCAAATTCCGGCCAACTTAACAAAAATATTAAAAAGCGGACCATTTTTGTTAAATAATGGCATCATTAGAAACTACTATTGTAAATTTAAAATATTTAGGGACCATATCTAAAGAGTGGATAAAGTTTGAGTACTAAAGATAAAACGTTCCCATCAAAATCACACGGAATATCGAATTGGGGTGAAAGTTGTTATGAGATACATAATTTAAGGGCAAACCTTGCCAATTTTATATTTATAGAAGTGCAAGTCATAAAATACAATTTACCCGCACCGAAAGTTAGATAAAATTTTGAATTTTAGAGAAAATATATAGTTTTTTTTCGTCGATTTTTGTTCCCGGACCAGGCGTATAATGCCCGTAATTGCACCCCGATTCACAAACATGTTATATATCGTTGTATCTAGTTCACGGAAAAACCATTAGGGGTCATGCCCAAACAAGCTGCATCTTTATATTGTTTATTTGAGTGTTTGAACCAAACGCGAAGAGCCATTTATTCGCTCGTGGAAACACATGTAATTATGGATCACGACTATTTCGAGATATTTGGAAAATCAAATCTACTAACAAAGTATTTTGCGCCTCCATAAAATGCAACAATAACAAAGTTGTGACTCACTTAGACGCACGGTTTTTGGATTTGGATGCTTCTTTAGTCGATTTGTTTTACCAAATTTTGTGTTTTAATTCAATGAAATAAAATCCACCACATGTTTATCTATTCTAAGTACAGTTTATCAATACTGGCCCCATTTTGAAATTCTTCGCACTCATTTCCTAAAATAAATATGTGTTTGTTAAGCTTTTGAAATTTATCTCAAAATATTTAACCAAAAAAATCTCAAAAAATTATCTTCCATTCATGCATAATTTTATTGTGTTGCAGTAACAAATATTTTTATTAAAATGCAAACAAAAAACACTTCATCTTTTGAATAACAACTTTTAATATGATTTTACTGTCACAGTATAAATTGTCTCCTCCTAATTACGAACAAATACTACATTTTTCTCCAAAAAAAAAAATGAAAAAATCTAAAACACATTTTCCCAAAATGAAATATAAATAGGTATCCGAAACCGGAACAAACATATTTCTTTTTTGAGAGAATTTGAAAACACATGTATATGGACCAATTTCAAATTAAGATGATTTCCCTAATTCAAATCTAAAAATCAAGAACCCTAATTTAAAATGTTAATTTCAACAATACTACGTGCAATTAATTTTGAATGTAAGGGTTTCTTTTTAAATGAGATTGTTTGAGAAGCGATAAATGGGTTAAGACTTAAGATAAAAATCAATCATAAAATAAAGGGTAAATTACAAACACCCCCCTGTGGTATGGTCAAATTACAAAAACCCCCCTCTTGTTTGGAGAATTACATCTACCCCTTCAACTATGATTTTTTCTTACACCTCCACCCTTATGGTGCTAAATTCAACACAACCATCTCGATTCCGTGAAATGTGCTCTAGTTTGTACTCGTTTTGTGTAAAAATACAGTTTCCGATGCACCACAAACTGATATATACAAGCTAAAAATCACATATTATGATCATCTTGCTTCAATATGTAGAGTTTGAATGGGATAAAACGGGTACAAAAGTGATAATATTCCATATAATCTCGAAGATTCCACTAAATTTGAGGAGTTGAGGGGGTGTTCGTAATTATCCAAACAAGAGGGGTGTTTTTGTAATTTGACCATACCTCAGGGGGATGTTTGTAATTTACCCTTAAAAGGTAAATTACGAACCCCCGAATTTAGGCCAAATAACTAAAAACATCCTCATCTATTCATAATTACCAAAAAGCCTCTGATGTTTGTTTCCGTCTTACACCGGCCCCTTACAATGTGACTTTTCACGGTTTTTTTTTACTCCAGGGAATAAACTTTACATAGTTTCAGATATTTTCTTTTATATCTCACTTATTTAACAGAAGGCATAATAGACATTACTAGGGGTGAAAGTCGGATGGATCGGATCGGAATTAGCCTTTTCGGAAAATTTCCAAAAAATTTCGGAAGTACAAAATCAATTCCAATTCCAATTCCAAAATTTTCGGAATCTAAAAATTCATTCCAATTCCAAAAGGCCCGGAAATTTCGGAATTTCGGAAAAAAATCGGAAATCACATAAGCTTTAAAATTTCAAAACTTAGCCGAAATTTTCTAAAATGTTCACAATTTTTCGAAAATAAGAGCATCCACGTCGATAAAAGTAAAACTAATAACTACTAAATTTCAGTTCAAAAAATTAAATAAAAATAAACACATCATAATATCCAATAAAACTTCTAACAACAATTCATTATGTCAAAATCCTAAAACAAAACTTGTAGGTGTATTTTTCAGAAAATAAGTATTGTATAATATATACTATTTATAGGTGTATTTTTCGGAAAAAAATCTGAATTTTTCGGAATTAAATCGGATCGGAAATCGGAAATTCCAAATTTATTTTATATAATTCCAATTCCAATCCAAAAAAATCGGAAAATTTCGGAAATCGGAATTTCGGAAGTCGGAATGAAAAAAGTTGTTCCAAAATCGGAACTTTTCGGATCGGAACCGGCGGAAATTGGAAAATCCGTTCCAACTTGCACCCCTAGACATTACACATTTTCTGTTAAAAACTTCGATCAACAGTTAATCAGATGGGGAGTTTGGTTAATACAGTGTTTTTCATTAGGGTAAATTCCACTTTTCCCCCTTGTACTTTGGCTCGATATCACTTTACCACCCTGTACTCTCAATTGCATCGATTTGTCCCCTTGTACTTTGGCTCGATGTCACTTTACCTCCTTGTACTCTCAATTGCATCGATTTGTCCCCTTGTACTTTGGCTCGATGTCACTTTACCCCCTTGTACTCTCAATTGCATCGATTTGCCCCCTTGCACTTTGGCTCGATATCACTTTACCCCCTTGTACTCTCAATTGCATCGATTTGCCCCATGTACTTGAAACATTGTCTCAATGTGGCCCTCTCCGTTAGTTTTCAGACCTTTGACCTTAACACCGTTTGATCTAAGTTTGAAAATTACTAAAAAGTCACCCCTCCCAATTTAAATAATAAAAATAAAAAATAAAAAAACAAAAAATAGAATAATAAAAAAATCAACACAATAAGAAAACATAGTCCACGACGCCAGCC